AAAGATACTTTGAAACTCAAAATATAAAGCTAACCATCTCATGAGAACATACCTTAACTTTTTCATACATTTAAAGCTGACAAAATTAAATACAACAGGGAATTTTGCACCTCCTCTGCAACTCAAAAGATACAAACAACAAATATAATAATGCCCTTATGCAACAGGAATCTTCTGTTTCTAAACTCCTTAGCATGGATGAAAACCTCCAGCAGGCTCTGTTAAGACCTTTGCCTAGAACCCTTAGGCTCTGGCAGATGGCTTGCTGCCAAATTTCCAAACCCTATTAAGAACACAATATTCACTGAACCTTTTTAATAAGACATACCAGCGTTCATATGCAGCAAGCACTTGCTAGTTACATAGCCTTTAATGGGACCTTAAGGGTACTTTTTCCATCTGTATAACTTCTTTTCTGAATTACAGGTACAAAAAGTAAGAGCTTCAGTTTGTATCATGAGCTAAACCCTATGTATACAACATGATACCACATTCATGACTTCTAAGTGCCATTCAAGACACGTCAAAAAAGAATGTTGTTTAGCACTGTGCTGTTCAGATCTGATTAACTGACTTGATCTTCCTCATACTCATACAACAAAGTGAAGAAATAAGAGATCTGCCTTCTTAAATTAATGGATGACTATTTGCCAAGTATACCGGATTTTTTTTTTCAGTCAAGTTAAGATGAGCACATCAAGAAAGACTCTACTATTGCCAGAAACAGATTTAAGTCATTACATTTTAGAGCATAAAAATTTATACCTTTATGCCTAATCGTTATGCAGTGGTGAGGACCTTAGGGAGGCTTGGAAATTTATAAAATACTAATATACAAAAATATGGATGATTCTGTAATTCCATGAAGTTTAAACAGATATTTACAGCTATTGCTGTCTTTCATGATTTTGTACTTTTGCACCTTTCCAGGAAGATATTTCCTCTGGCTCATCTTTTCAACAATATATATGCACATAATGGAAGATCCAGTTACAATTGTGAAATGGAAGATTGCATTTGATACAGTATTGTAGGCAGAAGGCAATTTTGGCTTTAACTGCAGTATGTTGGAATTACTATGTACATAAAGAAAAAATACATATAATATAAGGATATAGAGGTACCTGTCAGGAGATATAATTCCCAAATTCAGGATCACATATATAGGCTAATAAATATTAATAAGATATTAGTGTAACAAAAAAATAAAATAATAGGAAAGTAGTGGCACTCAAAACAATTTTTTTTATCTTACAATGGAAATATAAAAACAACAAAATATCCTATATTGCATGAAATCCAAACCTTGCACCATTATAGTGCTGCATGAGGTTCACTGGTAAAAGCTTTTACAAAGCAGTCTAATTTTAGCTGCTCAAAATAAAAGTAAAACCTACATCCCTAAGCAGTGCAGGGTAGAATATTAAATTACACAAGGGAAGTATTTTTAAGAAAGTTATGTTTTGATTTTCACATATAGTCCCTCAAAAATGTTACTGAACCCACTGTTCTGGCAGGTTTTGATGGTAAAAGATCAGATTTAGGAAATGGAATTATTGCCCCCTGGTGGCACATTAGGAGTCATTGCAATTAAAAAAGAATTCAGATAAATAAACAAATCTTTCAGTTTAAGTATTATGTCTTATATGAATAATGTCTGGAGATATTAAAAAAAATGCACAGCCATTTTCATATGCATTAAAATAACAGTAAATGGGGTATAATTTTCATTTTCATCTACAGGAGTAATAAAGAATGTGTCATCTTTATAAAATGTAAATAATAACACATTAGAATCAAACTCTTTGATCTGTAGAATGCCACAGCAAAAACTCTGACAGTCAAGTGAGTTACTTCAAAATCTAATTTTCATTTAAAAGAATAATTAGGCTTCTTAATTTTCATGTAAATATAGAAAACTCTTCCTGACTGAATCCATGTGGGGCTCTTCTTTGCTCCATTAGATACGTCAGCAGGCAAGGACAGAGAAGCACAGGAACAACAGGATTTGATCTTATGACTGGCTAGAACAACAGCATTGCTAAATGTTGATGCAATGTTTTCCACATGGGTTAATACAGGAATTCATGTATCCTAATCCTCAGATTATGAGTTGCTAGCCTCCCTCTTAATATCTGACCAGCCAACAGTCACCAAATCCTATTCAGTGACTTTCACACTGCATGACATATTCCTTACATCACCTCAAACTAAAGTGGCCTAAGACATCTACTCCAAACCATTTTGCTGTTGCAGCTGGAAAAAAACTGCTTTATCACAGTGGGTTTATACAATCTGTAATTGCAATGATAACATTCATCTTCCAGAGTATAACAAAGAGGGAGAAATACTCATTCCTTATGGGACTATGTTTATCCCCACAGAGTAGTTAGCAATTGGATTATGCTGCCCATACAAAAATGAGCATTTTTACATTTCAGTGTAATCATGTGTCCCTTCCATGACAGGAAAACCTTCTGCTTCTGCAGCAGTCTAACCTCGCCTTACAATACTGACAATCAGCATTTGCATGACGTCTTGAAATTCACAGCTCCAGACTTCATGTCTCCTAAAGCACAGACATCATGCCTTTGAGGAGTTGTAACATATTTTCCCCCTTTTTACTCTTCTTAATTCATTAGAATACCAGAACAAGTCACCTTAGTTCAACAGTTCTCTTCAAGGACAATTATTACCAAGCAAGTACTTGATTGAAAATTGGTTGCTATGAAGAAAACTCCACCTCTATCAAGGCATCTGATCTATCATTGGTGATACCATAAACTACTCCAAAGGATTGTCTAAATGGAAAGCTAGTAAATGAAAACTAATTCAGTATTTTTTCAAATATCTGTTCAGTCTGGCGTGTCAGAATATGAACAAAGTTCTTCATGGCTTTGAATTCTTCATACCAGACTGGCAGTTTTACACAACGCCCGATGAAATTGGGGAAGGGAAGTGACTGGAAATTTTACTTGAAGTGTAGATGGGGAAGTGGAACAGTTCATAAATTCTTTAAGCAAAAGGACTCCATTGCAGACTTATCTGTTTTAGAGGAGAATTAATTGCCGTAAAGAGCAACCAAGCAACACATGGGCTATTTAACAAGGAGCTGTTTTTAAAAGAAATGCTTTTGTCCGATGAACAGAAGTTACCTACTCAGTTGGAAATTTTGATATTACTGCTGATGTTGGCAAATCAGCAAGGTGTCAGTCAGTGCTTGAAAAAGGTTATGAGTGTGGAGGAAAGGGCAGGAGCACTGGGGAAAGGATGTTGCTAGGACGTAAATGGACAGGCTGAGTTTGGACAAGCCACATTCGCTCTGTCTTGCCCTTCACCAACGAGCCTCTCGTAATTAACTCATTCTTGACATGAGCATTCTATCTGTGTCTGCCCCGTGAGTGACACACGCAGCTTTGGCTGCCTTGTACTAGGAAGTCACGACAGAAATAGATTATTTGGCAAGAAAGCAATACTAATTATTCTGAGACATATTTGCACAGCAGTGTTTGAGCAGGGTGCTCTCTCCTTGCTTATGCTTGTCAAAGACTGAAACAGTTAATGTTTTATGCATTCTAGGATTGCCAAGGGACTTTTGTGCATTATACCTCTGATGGTCCATCAAAGCCCATTACCCTCACCCCCCCCCCCCCCCGCCAGGCCTTTGGCCAGGCCCCTCACGGAAATTCAGCACAGACCCAGGAGATGTTGGAGGCTCAAGGCATGGCCTGCGACACTAACCATGGATATAGTAACTCATAACTTCTTTGAGTGTGGGGGCTTCCCTCCTTCACCCCCAACAGATCAAGGCCACCACTTCAACTGACAGACATGGAAGCTGCAATTACCAAGTTTCATCACTAGACCCTGTGGGCAGTGACTACATATATCTTTCCACTCTCAGCTTTTCTTTCTCTTACTCTCCCTTACCCTTATCCTGTCTTTCCTTTCTCTCCCTTATGCATTTTCCCCCCAGGGGTTATCCCTATGATAGATGATATAGATGACAACAGCCAAAATGCTAACATAGCTGTTCAAACAAAATTGTTAAAATGAACCCTACTATATGCGTTTAAAATAAACCCTACCTATATATGTTTTCAAACACTGATTATTCAGTGTCATTTCACTCTAATCCACCCCAAGGGAATTATTTATAAGAACCTGGGTTACCCCCCTCCTTTTTTTCTAGGGTGGGTTGTAACAGTGCTGTACACTGAAGGAAGAAAAATCTCCCTCCTTGTAGTAACCAAAATGGTGAGGACCTCCTCTCTCTTGAGGGGGAGTTGTATGAGGAGCAGCTGAGGTCACTTGTCTGTTCAGCCTGGAGGAGACTGAGACTCACTGCAGTTACAGCTTCCTCGTGAGGGGATGAGGAGGGGCAGACACTGATCTCTCCTCTCTGGTGACCAGTGACAGGACCCAAGGGAATGGCCTGAACTTGTGTCAGGGAAGGTTTAGGTTGGATATTAGAAAACGGTTCTTCACCCAGAGGATGGCTGGGCACTGGAACAGGCTCCCCTTGGAAGTGGTCACAGCACCAAGTCTGACAAGAGTTCAAGAGGTGCTTGGACTATAGCTTCAGACACACAGTGTGATTACTGGAGTGTTCTGTGCAGGGCCAGGAGTTGGACTCGATGCTCTTTGTGGGTCCCTTCCAAAATCAGCATATTCCGTGATCCTCCCCTTTAGCCCACACTGGCTGCCGCAGGGCTCAGGGAGCTCCCGCTGCCGGCACAGCCGAGGAGAAAGCGGAGGCGAGCAGACCCTTTTCTCCGCCGCTCTGGGACGGTGACGAGAGGGGGAGGAAAGGAATCGACCTCCCGACGTTCGGCGGGACTAGGAGGATGCCCCGACGGGGGCGGGAAGAGCCGAGACGAGCTGGGCAGGGCGGGAAAGCGTCGGACACTGCCGAGCGCGCGCACCGCGGGGGCCGATGGGTAATGGGGGGCGGGAGGCGGCGGCCATGACAGGCCGCGCTGAGCGCGGGAGCGGCCCCGCGGCGTCCCCCGCCCGGCCGGGGCTCGGAGCCTTCCCGTGAGGGCGACCGAGCGCCCTCCCTCCTCCGGCGCCTCGGGGCCGGCTGGGGCGAGGAGGAGGAGGGGCCGGGCGGACATGGCCAGCCGTGATAAGTGGGAACGCCTGAGGCCGCTGCAGCCGGACACGCTGCGTGTGAGTGAGGTACATGGCGGGCGGCACAGGGAGGCGCTGCCTGGGGATGGGGAGAGGGCGGGACGCGGCGCTGCAGCCGCGCTCCTGCTGCGGGAGGTGGTGAGGAGGTGGCCGAAAGCCCGTCCTGCATCCCCTGAGTGGGAAAGGTGCGGCGGGCCCGGGCAGCGTGGTACTCGAAAGGAGCCATGCGATGCTTCCCCTCGCTCATGGCATTCCCTCGATGCTTCCCCAACAGGCTGGCAGGGAAAGGGGCTAGAGTGCAAAGGGATGGGTTTTCTTACTTGTGTTGCCTATAGCCTCTTAATCGAGCTAAAACTGAGTTTGAGAAAAATGGACTACGACTGTAATCTGTTCTTCTGAACATCTGTAGTGTTGAGGCAATCTTATATACAGCTGCCACCACAACTTTTAGTAATGCTATGAGGTAGCTAACAAAACAGGCCTACTTTTGTGAAGCTTCTTAAAATTTGTTATATTTCTTTTAATTACTCTTGACAGTTGGGCTAAATGGTACTTGGTAGTATTTTCTCATAGCCATGAAAGAGTTCACGTGAGTTTTTACGCTGATAATTGAAAATTTCTTATCATTGGAAATCATGGTCATAAAAAACAAAGGGTGTTGGGCACAGCTTCTCTATCTAGGTGTTGAGATGAGTCAACCAGGGGTGATCCTGTCCTGAATTGGCTTTTTGTAAACAGGGAAGTCAAGAATGTGGTAATTATTAACAGCCTTGGCTGTAGTGGCTGTGTGTATTGGGTTTGCATGGCCAGGTTTTAGTAATGGGAGCCAGGGGTGTGTGTGGGGTTACAGGGTTGGCTTCTCTGAGAAGCTGCTAGAAGCTTTTTCCATATCCAGTAGAGCCAGGCAGCTCCAAGAGGGACATGCTGCTGGCCAAGGCTGATCAATCAGAAATGGTGGTAATGCCTCTGTAATTAACACATTTAAGAACAAAAAAGATAAGTTCTTGCACAGATGTAATTGCAGCCAGAGAAGAGCAGAGTGAGAATATGTGAGTGGAACAACTTTGCAGACACCAAGGTCAGCGGAGAAGGAGAGGGAGGAGGTAGTCCAGATGACAGAGCTGAGGTTCTCCTGCAGCCCATGGTGAAGCAGGATGGCCCCCTGCAGCTTCTGGAGGTTAATGGGGATGCAGAGATCCACCTGCAGCCTGTGGAGGAGACCCACATCGGAGCATGTGGATGCCAAAGAGAGGGCTGTGAACCTGTGGGAAACCTATGCTGGAGCAGGGTCCTGGCAGGGACCTGATCTGTGGAGAGAGGAGCCTACGCTGAAGCAGGTTTCCTTGCAGGACTTGGGGGACCCACATTGGAGCAGGCTGTGCCTGAAGGACTGTGCCCCGTGGAAGAGTGACCCATATCTCAACAGTTCATGGAGAACTGTTGCCCATAGGATGGACTCACACTGGAGAAGTTCATGGAAACTGTCTCCCGTGGGAGGGATCCCATGCTGGAGCAGGGGAAGGAGTCCTCTCTCTAAACAGCAGCAGAAACAACTTGTGATGAACTGACCGTAACCCACATTCTCCATCTCCCTGAGCTGCTGGTGGGAAGGAGGGATAGTTGATGGGAAGGTGTTTTAAGATTTATTTTACCTCTCATTATCCTGCTCTGACTTTGTTAGTAATAAATTCAGTTAATATCCCCAGTTTGAATCTGTTTTGCCTGTGATGGTGTTTGGTGAGTGATCTCTCCCAGTCCTTAACTCGTGAGCCTTTGTTATATTCTCTCTTCCCCGTCCAGCTGAGAAAGGGAGTGATAAAGCAACCTTGGTGAGTGGCTGACATCCAGCCAGGGTCAACCCACTACAACCCAACATGGAATAGTGGATGTTTAGGAATACATCTGGTTCAGGTGGCTCGGTTTCCAAGCTGCAAATTGAGCTTTGGGTGGGAGCCCAGAGAGACATGAGGCCGTGAACTGCCCAACCCTTTGGATAACAAAGGGCATGAAGATGAGTGGTGTTGGCCAAGTGAGTGGACACAGAGACACAGCAAACACAGCCTTTGGATAACAAAAGGTTACAAAGAAGGTGGAGCCAGTGAGGTGGATGTACACTGAGAGAGAGGGCAGGAGCAGAGGACTCAGGAGGAATAGCAAGACTTGGGTGCAGGAAGGCTGTCAGCGTATAAAAGCTCAGAGTTTTTTTTGATAGGGGTCCCTCCTTGGAGGCAACAGCTTGGGCTGTTTCTGTGTTACTGCACTGTGAATAAATTGCTTTATGGAACGAGACGTCTGAGACTTTGCTAAGGGAAACCTGGTCTGACTGTGTGAGTGGGGTGTGTAGGGAGTTAAGTGTGGCTCCCATCGGTTCACTGGAGCCACCCACTGTGAAGAGGCTTTGGTCCCAGCAGTAAAAGTCTCTGGCGTTGGGAGTGTGACTGGGAAGTTTACTTAACAGTGGAGTTCAAGGCTTTGAACCTTCCTTGTAGTGAGGAAGGCTAGTAACAGAGTACAGAACATGGATTCTGTCTTTTTAAGGCTTCAGGACCTGTCCTGTTCATAGGAAGAGGATGTGAGATGCCCCCTCATGATGTTTATGGGCTGGTAGAAGGCGTCATCAGACACCTCACAAACTTCAACCAAGGTAGTTGAAAATTCAAGTGTGAAGTCCTACACTGTACCCTGTAGTGGTACAGCCTGGTGGACTACCCTGGAAGGACCTGGGGGTCTTTATGGCCAGTGGGCTAAACGTGCACCTGCACTGTGCCCTAATGTTGAGGCATAGGAGAATAGCCAGTGAATAGAAGGTAGTGATTCTTCTTCCTTACTTGGCATGTATTAGGCTGCTCTTTGAATGCTGTGCCTGATTAGGCCCAGTAGTAAAGGAAGCCTGTTAATAAACTCCTGAGGGAGCTTGTTAAGTTGCAGCAGCCCTTCAGTAGAGTCATAGAATATCCTGAGTTGGAAGGAACCCATAAGATGGAGTCCAGCTCCTCACTTTGCACAGGACAACCCCAAGAATCACATTGTAAGCCTGAGAGCGTTGTCCAAGACCTTCTTGAACTCTGTCAGGCTATGGCCACTTCTCTGGTGAACCTGTTCCAGTGCCTGACCCCACCTTTTGGGGGAAGAACCTTTTCATAATATCTGACTAAATCATCCCGACACAGCTTCATGCCATACTTGCAAGGATCTTAAGAAGAACTGAAGAAACTGGCTTGACACTTCACAGTTGTGCATGATGGGAGGCTGAAAGGAAATAGTCGTGAATTGAAACAAAAGAAGCCAGAGAGGTTGCAGCTTGATGTAAAATGGAACTTCTTCACTGTGAGGACAGGGAAGCAGTATAGTGGGATGCTCAGGGAGATGTAGCCTCCTTCCCTTGTAATTTTAAAGACCCAGTTAATTAAGCCTTGCATGAGCTGCTCTCATCTAATGACTGTTCCTGTTTGGAGTTGGCAGTTGGACCAGAGGAGACCTTAGGTCTCTTCCAACTGTAATGAGTCTGAATTTGAAAATGCTTCTGTTCTTAAATTGGAGAGAGGAGTGTAATGAAGTACCTGCTTAGGCTCATCACGTTAGTATCTCGCCCAGAGCAGGCTCTGCTGCCAGTCTTGTTTGTAACGTTTAACTGTAGTGCTGTATAATAGCAGTGTATCTTCCATATATGAGCTGCTATATGGAATAGATGAAGCTTGAATTTATAGAGATTATGCAGTTATCTCTTTGTGTTGTGACCATTGCTTGAACACTAGGGCCTTTAGTGGTGTTTCCTGCTTTCCAAAACAGAGAGAGATATGCTGATATTGAGGGCTGAAAATTCTGCCAGGAACTAATGAGCATGTATCCCTTCTGTCTGGTGACACTCCTTCACATTAATACGTGTTGAATTGTCAGCACTGTGATGGCTGTACCATTTGAAGTTGATTTGGGGATTTCTTCTGAAAAAACTTCCCCTGTAAATAGCATTTTATGACAGTTATTTTTTCCTTTTTTATTTCCCCAGCCACCAGTGATCAACCTGAATGAGCACAAAGATGCACAGCTTGTGAAAAGTAAGTTGCTATGGTTCATGTTGGAAGATTGTTCTTTAAGTATTTCATGGCTTTTTACAATGTGAGTACATGCTATAAACAAATGAGAAATTGTATCTCATATCAGCAGAGCAGGAGAAATGCTGAACACTAAATGAAATAACAGATGGGAAGCAATACTTCTTCATAGTTTTGCTCTTAAAACTTGTTGCAAATATACCTTCCCACTGCTATAAAGAAAATAATGCACGGGAAAAGTGAGTTATAGAAAACTGAAACATCACGCTGGCAAATGCTGGTTTTCAACTGGTATTAATAAATGTAAAAACAAGCTTGAGTGAATTTCCGGGTTTTTGGTTTTTGGTGGTTTTTTTTTTTTTGTTTTCTGACCGGTTGAATTCTTTCACACATCTCACAGTAACACAGTCCAAAACCGAGTTGTTGGACCTGTCACTTCATGTTAAAGAGTGCACAGATTTGCAGCCATGGAATGGGTGTGATACATTATGAGTAAAAGTACGTGTCTCATTCATCTTGGGAAAAATACTGATGTTTGAAGTGGAGCATTTTACAGGGAAGTTTGTTTACACATGCAGTCACCTTTTCTTAAAGCATTAGACTGGAATATTGCTCAGGAATACAGTTTGATATGAACAGGTATTTTCACAGGTATGAAATACCTGGTTCGCTTTACAGGAGAAAAGACAAGTAGTAGCAGAATTTTACAGTCTTTCATTGCCTCTGGCATTAAATGAGAGTGTGTGTGTGTATCATGTCTTTTTTGTGCCTCAAATATAGATGCTTTTTTGTGCTTTTTGCATACACAAATAACATTCTCAAGTTAAACCAGCTGTTTGTCAGTGACTTTTCTGCTGTTTCTGCAAATATGTTGGTAATGGATACACATAGCACAGAGATTTCTCTTAAACCTGTGATGTTAGTGTGTCTGTAGATCTTTATTCCATTAGTAAATTAAACATTGGAATGACCAGTTCTTTAGCCCTGAGGCCAAATAATGCAAACAGAGTTTGTCCACATATTAAGTTCTTCTACCCCAGAACAGATTGGTCGTTTCTAGGCTGAAACAGTCCTGAAGCTGAGCTGACTCCTGAACCATGCCTGATTGTTATTTGGGAGGTCTGCTGGTCAATCTGGGCCAAAAGGATATGAAAAAACATTTTAATGGTGTCATGGAGCAGAGATGGAGCTGCATTTCTCTGGCAATGCCCCTCACTATCTGTGTATTGTTAACCCAGGATTTCATTGGTATTCGTTCAGTGGTCTGATCTCACATCCTATGGAACATACAGTTACACAACCATTTAAATCCATACTAGCAGTGTGAAGTCGTAAATGTTGAAAGCACGAGGGTGCATGCTTGCTATGTAGATACAATCCCTGCAAACAAACAAAGGTATATGTAGTTAATAGGCTTTACATGATGCCTTTGCAATGTCAGCATTAAAAACTGCAGTGCTTCCAGACTTTTATCTTCATTGTTACTTCATCACTATCACTTTTTTTTTTAAGGAACACTTCATGCTTATGTAGTAGCTTACCCTAAATATTCTATCAAAACTTCACAGAAACTGTGGAAGGCAAAAGGCCACGATTTGATGCATCCTTGGTGCTTTTGACACGAAGATTTATGGCTCTTCTCAAAAAAGCTCCAGACGGTGTTCTTGATTTAAATGAAGTAGCAACAACACTTGGAGTACGAAAACGAAGAGTGTATGACATCACCAATGTGTTGGATGGAATCGACTTAATTCAGAAAAGATCTAAGAATCTTATCCAGTGGATGTGAGTTGGCTTTGAAACTTCTAATTTCTGAAACAGTAAAACCAAACAATATTGAGTAATGTTTATAACTTTGAGAGTATTTTTAAGCATTAAATTACTTTTCATAGATAATATTTTGTATCCTTAGGCTGTGTGAATTATTTAATATGTCAACAAGTATCAAGAGCAAAAGCACATGGGAGCGTATTTCAGCAGAGTAAAGGATGACATAGTTTCTGACTGCTTTCTGTTAGTACACATGATGTTCAATAAACAGGCTTTTATTGATAAATATATTAAACAACTTTCATATTCTTTTAGAGGTTCTAATCTTGACCAAGTTGTTGGAAAAGCACCAGAGCAGCAAAACCTTAAAGAAGAACTTTCTGACTTGTCAGCCATGGAAGAAGCTCTGGATGAATTAATCAACAATTGTGCTCATCAGATATTTGAACTAACAGATGACAAAGAAAATGCAAAATATCCTTTCAACTCTTGCATTACTTTAACACGTGATTTTGGTTCCAAGTACTCACATACCTAGTAACAAGCATAGGCCCATACCACAGGTATGCAGTAATACTTGATGAGTTTTAAAACAGGAAACTTTTTGGTTATTCTGTATTTGTGTTTGCCGGTCATGTACCTTGCTTTGCAGTATCATGCACAGTCCAACCTGTTCTCAGGTGTGTGCTGCTTGTGTGACCATTCCCCTGCAGAAGAACAAAGTGCAGCAATGGTCTTTGTACCCTGCCCATCTCTCCATTATAAAGTTCTCTAAGTTCTCTAACGGACAGGTCTTGACCTACCATGAGATTGAGTTCCTTAGCAAGATGACAAAGAGGACTCAAAATGGAGTCCCAGTGGCCTGTTGCCAAGAAGATATAATGGTATGTTGGTTGTGCCCTAATACTGTTCTGTCTCTTGAGAGAGGTTCCAGTGCAGTTTTGACTTACGGATGGGTTTTGGCAATAGAAAAGAGCTTTCTTTTACGATATGACATAAATGCTGAATTTTGGCTTTAGGTTACAGTAAAATATTACTTAGCTCCCTTATTTGGCAAAATATTAAGGTCTGTGCTCAAATGAAGCGTGTCCATTTTCTTTACACCTTACTTGTTCTGGTTAAGAAAATAATTCTGTAGTTTCCCAGGAAATTATTTTCATGCTATTACAAAACAGAAAGTAGTTTCTCAAGCACAATATTCCCTCTGCTTTGTAGATTCATGACAGCATCTGGGAAACATGTCAGATGTGTTTGGGGTTTTTTAATATTGAATATATTTTTTTCTTCCTAGAAATAAAGAAAAGCTGTTTTCCACTTGTTAGCTAATTCATTAGCTAACTTGTTAGCTTCATTTTACAAAGCTAATACTAAAATAACGTCAACACCATTGTTGACCACTTTTCTTAAGTTGGTATTCTACCTCAGCATATCTTGACATCACACTCTTTGCTTCTGCTCATTAGCAAATTACTTTACAGAATCCTTGACCAATGTATACACTAGCTTATGTTACATACCAAGATATCCGAAGCATTCAGACATTTCAAGAACAGATTGTGATTGCAATCAAAGCTCCAGAGGAAACCAAATTGGAAATACCAGTTCCTAAAGATGTAAGTTCTCAAATTTGACTTTTTGCAGCAGCAGTCAGTAATTAACTTCTGTTTCCTTTGTCATGCAAATATTGGTAGTTCATTGTTCTTGTGTTCCACTAAACAATGCTGTAGGGATAATAGTCTGAGAAACTTACAGTATTTTTACTTAAATCATTAAATAATAGTGTCTGGCCTTTAGGTACCTGGGTCTTGCTAGAGAGAATGGAACAGCTGTAATAAAGTATGAAATGTGCAGTATAGTTGAAAAAAAGAAAACATTTTGTCACTCTAGTAGATCATGTCTAGATGAATCTTTGATGGAGGTGGAGGCTGTGCCCTGTCCTCACCCCATAGTGCAATACTCAGGCTCCATTCCAGTCACACAGAGGAGCCAGACCTTTTCCCTCTGCATCCAGCAATGCTGCATCTACATACTGGGGCCTAAATACTGAGAACCCACTGCTTAAAGTAGTGCTCTGAGAGGGGAAATCCTGGAAGTGAGCTTAAGATAACAAATGTAGCTTTAATTCAGCTTTCTTTTTGCATATGCATTTTTTATAATGTTCTTAATTGCATAGTCATCAAATTTGCCTTGCTGTGTGCACAGAAAGGGTGGTGATATCTTAGGAAAAGGAGATATGAATCAGTAGTACAAGAAGACTTAGTTCCACTGCATAGATCTCCAATGGTTTCCCTGGTAAAAGGAGCTGGCTCTCATCCAGTGGAGATGAAAAAGATAAAATTCCAAAGACTTCCTAAAGCAATAAAAAGGCAGAATTTAAAAAGCTGTATTTTAGAGAGAACAGAATCTTCTCTCAGTTGTCCGTAAAATTTTATTTGCTCTGTCTCTTGCAATGTGATGTCTCCTGAAGGGAAGTAGTAGAAGTGATAGGGGTTAGTTACTTTGCTGTGTTATTAAAGCTGCATGCTCTTGATTTGTTTTCTGATCCATGGCGTTGATTTGTCAAGTTTTAAATTTTGTTACTCTTCCTAAACATACTAGTAAATCTTGGTCATATATCTAAAGGTTAGTAGAAAGACTAAACAAGTACTTAAGTGCATTTTCTTCAAAAATGAAAACTTATTAGCTTAGTGCTGCTTAAAAACTGTCCTACAAATATATGTAATAGTCATAATTTATGTGGAAGTAGTAAAACAATTTTAAATGGTTATATCACTCCTGTATTTTTTCTGTTCTTAATCTATTGGCTTTAAAATATGTGCTAGAACAGATAAAGCATGTGTAAGACTTGTTCTTTGAATTATATGCAAGTTGCTGTTTTATAGGATCACATAGAAGTACATGTGAAGAGCACAAAAGGACCCATTGACGTGTATCTATGTGAGGTGGAAAAAGAGAAGCCAGGTGCCAAAACTTGTGAAGATATGGATGCTGTCACTTCTGAAATTGAACCATCAGTTTCTCCTGATGAAGGTAATGTCCTCCATTTACATTTTTATACACATGTTGGTATTTTTTACGATAGTCATACCATTCTGATGAATTTGTAAACTCTACTGTTGTACAAGTATAATTTTCTGAGCATAGTTTGTGGGCCAAGATGTGTGGGAGTATAGGAAACGCCTGGAAGAGAAGTCTCCCTTGTTTTGTTACTTCACAGCAGCAGGAGGTCAGAGTGTCAGGCACGTGCACATATAGCAAGGCACTCTTGTTCTCTGACCTTTTCCTTCCTTCACTCGTTACTGGTTTCCTGTCAGAGCTGCACTCTGTGGATGGAACAATGTGTGTCAGTTCTCAGCTGCTGCACTAGAGAGTCCAGCTCAGCTGAGATTGTTACATGACAGTTATGATGTGGTTTCAAATGAGAGTGCGCTGCTGTTGCTCATTCCTGCCCTGTCTAAGGGAGGAAAGACTAAGGAAAAGGCGATGTAGTATTTTGATCTCCCAAAACAAGATTGGATGGAATATAGTCTCTCAGGAGCCCCAGTGCTTCAGGATGTTGTGGCTTAAAAATAAATGTGGAAGGAATTGCAGTAGCTCAGAACACAAAAGAGAAATTATTTTTAGCACTGCTGCTTTATATTTGAGGGGAAGAGTTGACTTTTTGATCCTAGGCATTTTTTTACTTTATTTTGCTTGTAAATTAAGTCAGAATTGTATTTTCTTCAGTGACAGTAATCATATTTCTTTTTTAATTTCCTTTCAAAGTGAGATCTCCGAGGGAAGAAAAAAACTCTTCTGAGATGCCAGATTAATTACAACATAAAAATCCAATACAATCTATAACCTGTGTTATAGAACTTTTCCAAAGCTGCTTGGATCTGCAAACTTCATATCCTGAAACGTTCCAAAGTGTTTTAAAAAAAACCAGCTGTGGATTGATTCAGTGCTTTCATAGGATTACTTATCTTACCAAGTCAAAAGACAGCAGTTCCTGGAATTGCTTTTAGGAGCCTTGTTTTCATAATTGCATGTGATCTACAGAGCTTTGGGAAAAGGGTATTTTACCTTATAATTTTAATTGACAAAAACATAGGTAATTAATTGCTTCTAAAAATGAAGGTTGGAAAACTATTCCTGGAGCAGTCCACAATCTGTGTGAGAATGTGTAAAATGAAGAAATGCACTTTCAGTTCTGAGTTCTGCACTACTAAGCAGGATTGTCAATTACAAGTTTAGCAAAGAAGTGGTGTATAGGAAGCTTTTGCTATAAGGAACAAGATGTAAATATCCTGAGAGTTATGCCTTAGACTGTGTAGGTGCTGTTTGCATTGTTTGCATCCAGCTCTGCATGAACTATGGTATCAACACTGAAGTGAAATAACTGGGCTTTGTGTACATACCTGTATCATGTCTAGGTAGTTACTGATGTAGATTTATTGAGATAGTTTGCATTTCAGCCTTTGTACAGCAAAGAAATAAAGTAAGCTTACAAAAATATGAAATAGTCTAATAAAACAGGTTGGGTTGCCTTTGTTGGAATTCACTGTGTAACTGCAAACATTTTAAATTATGCGAAAATTTAAAATCTGTTTTACCTGGTGCTGGCAGCTAACAGCTCTGCATCTTGCGATGCCACAATCCCGTAGCAATTTTCAGGAGAAATGTTGTGATCAATAACTACTTAAGTTGGTCCATTCCAGTTTCCAGAGTGTACATATGGCTGAGCTTCGGCTGAGTATCATGACGTCTTTGTGGCTCAGCTTGCAAAAATACATAAAATACTTAATAACTCTATCTGTATTCATCCAGCTTTAGTATCCGTAAAATGAAACTGCGGCGTTTTGATACTGGGTTTTCTAAGGGAGTGAACTGTCACTATACAAATGCCGTGCTGAAAATGCCGTGCAGTACTGAAAAGTGACACCATAGGTTTCAGGGCATTAAGGGGGTGTGTTGGCTGGTTTGTATTTAAATTGGAAGTCCAAGTCCTTGTTTTCCTGATCTCACAGCATCAACAACTATGCATCTACTCACAACTGGGAAAAAAACCAAGTGCAAGCTTGTGTTAGAAAGTAATCTCGACTTCTTACATATGGGCTACCACCTTCCAGCTCCAGAATACAGGACTTCAATATTGGATACTATTTTTCTGTCTCTGTAAAATGCAAACTACAGGCTGAGTTGTTACAATAATAAATACAAGCAAAGTGACAGCACAATTAATACATATATCACAGTAAATATGGGGAATGTGCTCCTTCAGTGAATCTGGAAGTGACAGTAAGAGCATCTTTTTGTACAGAAAGATTGTCCTTCAGTGGCTGGCTTCTTTCCAGATGGCAAACTCTCTATTTGATTTTTTACATTGCTGTTGTGCTTTGGTGGGGACGGAGGTCTGTGCTGAAGAGAAGTATTGATTCCCCTACACTGGTTCAACAACTCAGGACAATGTTTGCCATAAAACAAAACAGCACTAACAACTAATACTGAATGTTCTGTGTTACAGTGGGATTTTATTACATGTTCATAAAATCTTGGAATGGTTTGGGTTGGAAGGACCTTAAAGATCATCTAGTTCCAACCCCCCTGCTGCAGGCAGGTTCACTTTCCACTAGATCACAGAATGATCGCTTAAGTTGGAAATGACCTTCAAGACCACTGAGTCCAGCCTTAACTGCCATGTTAACTAGGCCATAGCACTAAGTGTCATGTCCAGTCATTCCTTGAACACCTCCAGGGATGGTAAATCCACTGGCTCCCTGGTCAGTGTGTTCCAATACTTGACAACCTTTCAGTGCAGAAATTCTTCTGATGGCCAACCTGAACCTCCCCTGGCACAGCTTGAGGCTGTGTCCTCTCGTCCTTGTTCAAAGCCCCATCCAGCCTGGCCTTGAACACTTTCAGGGATGGGGCATCCACAACTTATCTGGGCAGCCCATTCCAGTGCCTCACCACTCACAGTAAAGAATTTCTTCCTAATATTAAGGCTAAACCTACTCTCTTACCCATTACTCTTTGTCTTATCTGTGGAGTAAGGAAGTATATTTTTAAAAAATAACCATCCTACAAATGTTAAGGAAATCTGTCTTCAAAAGCAGAACATTATTTAAATGAAACACTAGGATTTTTCATTTTGAACAAATCTCTAGTGGTTGTTTTTCCTTCCTCATATGTACAGGTTTTCTACCTGTAGAATTCATTTTTTACTACACAATTGTCACAGTGAAATAGGAGAAGCTGTAATATGACAATTACACTATAATTATTAAATACATCTGTTCTAATAGTGCACCTCTAGTGAAACGAATGGACTTTTGAAGATTAAAACACTGCTGTTACTAGGTTATGTACAATATTATCCACTTGCAACACTGGAAAACAATACTGTGTAAGCTCAGTGCACTAACTAACTGAAAAGATTTGACTTGGACTAGAGGAAAAATTCCTGAGTGATGCTGAACTTAAATACAAGTTCACTTACAAATGTGATAGGACCTTACTCTGAATTTGTGTAATAACAGTTGATTTTTTTTTTCTGAGAGGGTATTAAGGTTATTTTTGTTGAGCCCATATCTGTCCATTTTCAATATATTTGTGTGTGTAAGAAGCTCCCTTGGGTAATTGAGGACCCTATAATAAATTAAAAAGCTCCAATACGGTTTTTGTGTTTCCTTCAATAAGAATGGCTGAGTATCTAAATGCATTAATCAGCAACAGCAACAGCCAAGATCCATAATTATAAAATGCCTGGGTTTGCTGACTCTGTAACTGAAACAAATGCTGCAAGTTGCCAGGTCAGCCTGCATTTGATGTGGGAAATCACTCGTCAGTTTTTGGATATAAACTGCAGTTTTAAATAATGTGATTAGTAAAGAAGAGAGAAGAGTCCTTCAAATTATTAGCGGTTGGAAAGGTCTTAAAAGCCAGCAAATTTCTTCCTTTCGAATAATCTTTTTGTTGTGTGTGAAGAGCCTCATTAATAAGCATAATTAAATTACACTGATTTCAAAAGTCACTTTAGCTATTGTCATTGTCAGTGACAAAGTTTGCCTGCTGGCTCCTCATGTGCTGGGGCTGACTGCACCCTTAAACCATTGTGTTCCATGATCCTCCATGTGCCATGGAGGGCTCTGGCACCATGCTGGGACATCAGTAACTGCTTAAGTCTTTATCTGGAACAAGAATCTGCTATTTTTGGTTCCACTTCTGATCTGTCACTGGTAATTTGTGAGAAGCGTGTTGTGAGATGTGTAGTTTATAAAAATCTACATCAGGCTTCTCACACAGATGTTAACTGAAGGACTGGGATACTCGTTTATGAGAAAACGTGTTCTGAAGGAAATCTTAATGATATTTGGAGAAAAAGGGAAGCCTAGAGCTGTCTGTGTATGGTGTACATGGTTCCTTTCCCCCCTGCTACCCCCTGCAGACCGACAGTGGGCAATCTGAGGGCCTGGAGCTGCTCCCTGGGCACCCACCATGTGAACATGGGCTGACAACAGCTTCTCACTGTGTGACCCATGAATGAGGTGGTATTTGCAATCACCTCTAGATTAAGGGATGGGGTTATAGGAGACAATCCTAGAAGTTGTAACAGCAAACTAGAAAGATCAAAGCTCAGCACATCATTACTCTTTCACTGACTTCTATTAGGCCTCTGTGGCGGTGTATCCTCCCTCCTTGCCCAGGCTGCACTATGATCTGAGAAATGCTGGTTAGGCCTCAGCCTTGATGACCTGGGCTCAGGTCATTTTGGGATTATCAGAAACACTGTCTGTTCCCAGGAACTAGTGCTGTCTAACTAGTGCTGTCCTGCTTTTTAATGAACAGCCTTGGAAACTTACTTTTCTTTCCTGAATAACAACCTAAGTGCAATAATATTTTTGTTATCAAACTTTCAAAGAAAGTTGACCTGAATTGTGGTCAGGATGGAAAATTATTATGACTAAAGCCAACTCTCTTGTGACCCTATAAACAATGGTCCAAAGTGAGACCCTTTGATCTCTCCTGGACCACAGTGATCTGTGACCAGCATCTCCCTCAGTGGGGCCTCTCAGAGCCAGCAAACTCTCAAGTTTTCTACACTTGGAGACTTGTGAACCCCAACAAAGGATCCTGGGTTGATACCCTCGGCTCCTCGAGGCTCAACCCTTTGCCAGTTGAGAAGATGCAAAGGCATCCAAAGTGAGTATTTCACTGAATTCAAGGGGAATTTTTCAAATGCATATACCTTGTACTGACTGTGTGTGCATGCAAGTGTGAATATGGTAGAGGAAATGGACTAGGAATGTTGTTCACTCAGATCCTTAAATACTTTAAATTTGTGGTAAGTCAGACCTGGGCATTATTGTTGTGATATAGTAAATTCGATATGAGTATTTTGCTAAATTGTTTAGCTTCAGTTATCAATTAAGTACTGATAAGTTAAGTGCTGCTAAGTGCTGTTAAGCGCTGTTTTGTAAAGTTTAAGTGATGTTGGGCCTTTAGGCATAAACTGTTGGTCAGGTCTGGGCTCAGTTTAGCATGAGGGTCTACTGTGAACCTTGTGACTCAACAGGAGGGTCTTCTGTATTCCTTTTTATCCTTACCCTTTCCTTTTATCTCCTCTTCCCTCCCCTCTCCCCCCAGCCTCCACATAGACAGGTTTGGGCTTATTTCAGTCTGGATTGATTGATTTCTGATTTTCGTTTGCTTTTTCTCAGTGTGCTTTAACCATCTAGTAAGTAGTAGAAGTGAACCTTGCCAACAAACTTTTGTCATGCTGTCGCTTTTATATTAAACCTGTTTTTGCTGATACCTTTTCAGGTATTCCTTAAACTTAAAACACTCATTCACTACAGCCTCTAATATTTCATAGCATCCTTCAAAAGGAAAACTTGGCACTTCAAGTGAAAACTTCAGGAATATAAAAATCTGCAAGAAGCTATTCAAGTTCCTGAAACAGTTTTGCTTTCAGTCTTTTGTAGATCCTAATACAAATCCTGCACAGAACTGCTTTTAGGTAATGTAATATTGTTTTTCAGATAGATAAGCAATTTTGGTGTTACACCTGTCATTTTCTAAGGAGCTCTTTTTTCTTTTTTTTTTTTTTACTTCCCCTACTTATAACCATAAAAATGTCACAAGCAGTTTACAGCCGTAGTTGTTGCTTCTTTAACATGCAGCCTAAGCACATCATGAAAAATGAAACAAGAGTTGATAAAATTCTTGCAAACTAGGAAGGTGTCAGATCAGATATAAGGTTTCAACAAGCTCAGAAATGGAAAGGCTGATTTTATATATTTTTTAATTACAAGACACACAAATTCTTAAGAGGCTTGCAGGCTCCTGAACCTAGCATGACATTTGTGTGCACTGACTGTGACCTCGACATCAAAACTGACAGCTATCTGTCTGAAGAAAAGTTCAAAGTCCAGTGAAAACATTTCAGAATTTATTTGGATAATAAAGTTTTAAAGAGGACTCTACTTAATATTGCAAGTGGTAGAATTTTAGCGTGGCATTTGGAATGAGGGAAGGCATTAATGCCACTTAGAAAAGGACACACGATCAATATCTCTCATGCTGTTATTGGTAAGATCCATCTTTCCAAACTGTGATGAAACTGTCTTCTGACGTTCTCATCTGCTAGGTTGTACTCTGCCTCTGCTCTTGTTCCAGAGTGTCCAGAAAAAAAATTGCTTGTAGAATAAATGAATGAACCAACAGCTGAATGAACTCACTCCCATTTCCCTACGGTGAGAATCATGAACCTTCAGACCATTTCTTCCTGACCATACCACAGCTATAAAAGTGCTCTGAGTGACACCAGACACTCTGCTGGTAGCTGGGCACTCAAGGATCAAACCAAGCTTCCCAGAAGTTTGTTGTGATCAATTCATGATCCCTAAAATACCTAAAAAAACAGGACAATATCCACACACTGCCTCCATCCCATGCACTAAAGCAGGTTGCACAGAATTCATAGTCAGGAACAGAGAACTGTGATTTACTTGATAATGCTGCTCCCCACAAATCATCAAAGAACCTTTTTACAATGCCTCTATAACTTTAGTTTTGTGTAAGAAACAATTTCCACAAAAAAGTCCCCCCAACAATGCGTGTGAGGCCCTCACGCTGGCAAGAAGCTATCAGAGGTGATGATTTCTATCCTTATGTGGCTGAAGAGAAAACAAACACAGCTGAAATTACACAAAATTATCCTGTCCTGGCATAATATTCATGAGGGAAATACAGACATTTGCCTCAAAAACTGCAGAATCAATTCTTCCTGTGATGAGAGGTTAAAAGAAAGCAAAATAAAAGCAAAAACATTAGCATTGCCTTTCTTGTGAGATCAAAGAAGTCCTAATTGCAGATTTATCTTGGAGAACTGAATAAAGGGATAAATACAAATGTCAGTCTTTCAAATTGCCAAAGTTGACACATAGACTGGCAGTCCCCATGCACAGATCAGATTTGTTTGGAACATATCAAAAACATTGAAAGCCCTGGACCACTGAGCAGCACAAAAAGCAAATGTGGATTAGTGTGTATTTATTGGTTAATTATGTGTTTCTCCCAGTCTGAAAGACTCTAGACTGTATTAAAATTTTACTGCCGATTGAAGCTCAGGAATCTTCTTTTAAAAAGGAATTAAATGTGACATTAGATGACCACTCATGGAGTCTTTAAAACCAGTATCTTCCAAATGAACATATATTTTATTCCTGATCTGAAAAATACTGTCCATTTATACGTGGAGAAAATATAGACTGCTTGGAGACAAGGGGTTGGAAGGCT